CGGGCCCTCCGCACCGACACCGACACCGCCCGGGCCATGCCACGCCGCGCCGGCTCGGCGGGGACACGGGCGGCCGCCGCGGGTAGCGATGCGCGGGGGTAGGTAGGGCTGACTGGCGGACTGACGGACGGACTGACAGACGGACGGACGGACGGACGGACGGGGCCGCCGAGACGTCGAGGGAGAGGGAGAGAAGCGAGAGCGAGCGGCGGAGCGAGGAGCGGCGGAGCGTGTCCCCGTCCCCGCGTGTCCCCAGCCCCGCGTCAGGGTGATGTCGCCGCGGCAGCAGCCACAGCCCGTCTGACCGCCGCCGCCTCTCCATGTCCCGGCTCGTTATTTATTATTATTATTATTATTATTATTGTTATTATATTTTTTTCTTCCTTTGATTTCTCTTTGGGAAAAGCACTTTGACTCCTGACTGCTCTACCTCAGACCCGAGAAAAACTCATCACACTCGCTTTTTGGCGGTTTTGTTTTTAATTTTTTAATTTTTATTTTTTCTGAACGCCGATCTTTATAGCCGTTATTGTTTTATTGTTACTATTATTATTATTATTATTATCCGTGTGGTTGGTAGCGGCCGGGATCCTACGGCTGTGTTGAAGCGCTGGGCAGTGGGGGGTTCTCCTGTGTACCCCTCCTAGGACACTCGAACGAAGATTTTTCTTCTTCCTCCCTTTCTTTTTCTCCTCCTTCACTTCTCCAAGGCTTTTAAAACAAACACATACACACACAGAAAAGAAAAAAAAAAAGAGAGAGAGAGAAAAAACAAAACAAAAAGCAAACCTACGCCGGTGTTGTCATCTTTTTGAAAAAAAAAATTGTTGTTTTAATTTTTTTTTTTTCTTGACACCTGGGAAACCACTGCCCCCCTCAGAACTAACCAAAGACAATGGTTCACTGTGCAGGCTGCAAAAGGCCGATCTTGGACCGGTTTTTGTTGAATGTACTGGACAGGGCTTGGCATGTGAAGTGTGTTCAGTGCTGTGAATGTAAATGCAATTTGACAGAGAAATGCTTTTCGCGAGAAGGCAAGCTTTACTGCAAAAACGACTTCTTTCGGTAAGTACCGGCCCCGCCGCTCCTCTCCATCCGTTTTTCATCTCCGTTTTTTTCCCCTTTATTTCTGCTGTTTCCCCCCCTTGTCAGCGGGACCCACAAGCGCCTCTTCCCTCCCTGTGACACGCGAACGTCTCGAAGCGCTGTTATTCCTCCCGGTGACCGGCGGTGGGGGTCGGGCCCGGGGAAGGGCCCGTCGGGCCCTGCGTGTCGGTGACGGGCCGATCTCGAGTTCCCCAAAGTTCCTCCCGAACTATCGACCGGCGGAGCGGTGCGGGGGTGCTGCGGGCCCGTGGCGGGGGGTGTGCGGGGGCCGTCCCGGGCCCGATGCCGGGAGCCGGGGTGACCCCGCCGGGGCTTTCCGCGGCCGTGAGCGCGGCGCTGTCCGGGCCGGAGCCCCGCGTTGTTCCCCGCACAACCGGGCCCGGTGCCCCCGGGGAAGGCCCGGTACGGGCGCTCCGCGGGCCCATCGCCTCCCGTCCAAGCGAGCCCAGACTGCCCCGGAGGGCAGCGACCCTTCCCCGCCGGATGGATGGAGAGGGCAGCGGGTACCGACGCCGCCGCTTCCCCCGCGCATCCCGGCGCCGGGATCAGTCCCGGGCTCGGAGCGGCCGCCGGTGCCGCTGCCCGGCCGGGCCCCGCCGCCGCACTCCGGCGAGAAGGGCAAGGACCGGCTCGGGGCCGGGGCGGCCGCCGAACCCCGCAGCACACCCGCACAACGCGCGGCCCGAGCCCCGCAGCCGCTTCTCCTGGGCGCGGGGACCGGCACTGCCCCGAGCCCGCCGCTCCTCCGCGGGGACCGGCACTGCCCCGGTCCCGAGAGCCCCGCGGGGCCGAGCGGGACTCGGGAGGCCCCCGGCCCTGCCGCGGGTCCGGCCCCGCCGTCCCCCCGCTCCCCGCGCTGGCCTTGCCCGCACCGGCGGCTCCTCCGGCCGGGGCCGGTAGCAGCGTTCGGAACGGATGGAATTTCTGCGTGGTGTTTATTAAGAGCGTCGTTAACGCGGTGTCGGGGCGCAGGGGACACCCCGGGCAGCGCAGCCCCGGGATCCATCAGTCCCGCAGCCCCTCTGCCCAGGCCGGGTTTGATTTTCATTTTTAAAAAATTGCAGCGTCAAGAATTCGCTCGTTAGGAAGAGAGAGCCCTCCGCGGGGACGCCGTATTTTGTTTAATTGCGTTTTTGCGCGGCCGGGCGGGGCGAGCGGAGGCCGCGGTGAGGGGCGCGGGGCCCCGCGGCTCGGCGGGCGCTGCTGACCCGCTGCCCGGCCTCTCTCCGCAGGTGTTTCGGGACCAAGTGCGCGGGCTGTGCCCAGGGCATCTCCCCCAGCGACCTGGTCCGCAGGGCGCGGAGCAAAGTGTTCCACTTGAACTGTTTTACGTGTATGATGTGTAACAAGCAACTCTCCACCGGCGAGGAGCTCTACATCATAGACGAGAACAAGTTTGTCTGCAAAGAAGATTACCTAAATAACAGCAATACTGCCAAAGAAAACAGCCTGCATTCAGGTGAGGGAGCGCGGCCCCGGTGATGCGGGCAGGGATGCGCTCAGCCCCGGCTGCTCCTTGGGATGAGATGCTCTTCTCCCTTCTTCTCTCCTTTTCTTTCTCCTCTTCTTTCTCCTATCTTTTCCTTTCTTTCTTCTTTCCCTTCTTTCTTCCTTCTTTTTTCTTTCCTTTCCCCCTCCTCTTCTCTCTTCTCCTCTCCCTTCTTTTTCCTGTCCTTTCTCCTCTCCCTTCTTTTTCCTGTTCTCTCTCCTCTCCCTCCTTTCTCCTGTCCTTTCTCCTCTCCCTTTCTTTTTGTTTCATTTCTTTCTCCTCTCCGTTTTCTCTCCTTTATTTTTCTTCTCCCTTTCTCCTCTCCCTTTTTTCTCCTCTCCCTTCTCTCCCCTCTCCTCTCCCCTGTCATACCATGGCCTGTCCGTCACGGGCGTTATTTCCCCCCGGCCGCCCCCGGCTGACCATGACCCGGTTTGCTCTCCCCCAGCCACCACCGGCAGTGACCCCAGCCTGTCCCCCGACTCTCAAGACCCCTCCCAGGACGACGCCAAGGACTCAGAAAGCGCCAACGTGTCCGACAAGGAGACGGGCAGCAACGAAAACGACGACCAGAACCTGGGGGCCAAGCGGCGGGGACCTCGCACCACCATCAAAGCCAAACAGCTAGAGACTCTGAAAGCCGCCTTCGCGGCCACCCCAAAACCCACCCGGCACATCAGGGAGCAGCTGGCACAGGAGACTGGCCTCAACATGCGGGTCATCCAGGTACCGCCGCCTCCGGGCACCGGGCACGGCTCCAGGGGATGCGGGAATGCGACTCTGGGAATGCAGGGATGAGGAGCGGCCGGTGCCCGGCACCCCCTGCGTGGCAGGGCTGGAGAAAGCCTCGCCGACCTTTTAAATCGTTATTACTGAGGTGCCCCGGCAGCTTCCCGGTGCTTCCCGGCCCGTCGGCTCCTTCCCGGGAGCCGCGGGTTTATTCTCAAAAATCCTGAAGAAGCTGAAAGTAGTTTCGAAATTAATAACCAGAAATGTGAGGGGTTAATGGGTAAATAAGAATGACAATGCGCTGGAATTATTAAAAGGTTTATAAACCCGCAGCGCTGGGGTAATGGGGGGTTAAAGGACCATTAAAGGCGAGGTTAGATTGGAGAGGCTCAGTGTGAGGGTAATTAGCAGTAATCTTGTCAGGGTAATAAGAATTAACTCAATCATTCTTGACCTGCAGCCGGCGGGGAGCGGGGCTGCCGTCACGAGTGGGTTCGGCCCCGTTTGGAACGAGAAGGAGCTGGGCTCAGGGCACACCGGCAAAAGAGACAGGGAAAGGGGAAAAACGCGACCCTGGGGTGGGGATGAGGATGGGAATGGAGGGGAAGGGGGGCGCGGGGTGGCGGCGTGAGCGGGACCCCTGATGCCGCGGCTCCCGTGACCGGCGCCTCTCCCGCCACCCGCGCAGGTCTGGTTCCAGAACCGGCGCTCCAAGGAGCGGCGGATGAAGCAGCTGAGCGCGCTGGGCGCCCGGCGACACGCCTTCTTCCGCAGCCCGCGCAGGATGCGGCCGCTGGTGGACCGGCTGGAGCCCGGGGAGCTCATCCCCAACGGGCCCTTCTCCTTCTACGGAGGTGGGTAACGCGCTCTCCTCCCCCGCGGCCCCTCACCCCCTGTGCCCGCGGACACCCCGTGCCGGGATGTGCAGACACCTGTGGGGACACCAGGGGGACACACCAGGCTCCCGGCTCAGCTCCTGGCAGCGCTGCCCCCAGCCCTGGGGCCGTCTCGGGGCCCTCCCGCTGTCTCGGGGCCATCCCACTGTCCCGGGGCCCTCCCGCTGTCCCGGGGCCATCCCGCTGTCCCAGGGCCATCCCACCTGGCTTCCCCGCCTGTCACGGGACTTCCCTCTCCCGGGGGTGGCCGTCGCGGCGCTGCCAGCAGGACCCCGATGTTCCCTCGGTGTTTTTGGGATGCCGGTTCATGTCGGTGCCTCCGCTGCTCTGCAGGAAGGGAGTCCCGGGGCTGCCAGAGCCCAGCCAGCCCAGGAACCGGTTTCCCCCTCGGGTTCGTGGGTATCACCCCAAGCCTCCCAGCCGCGCGGCCGTGGGAGCGCTCCCGCGTCGTTCCCGCTCGGGTGCCCGCCTGTTACCTTCCCTCTGTCTCTCCTTGTCCGCCAGATTATCAGAGCGAGTATTACGGCCCTGGAAGCAATTACGATTTCTTCCCGCAAGGACCGCCTTCGTCTCAAGCGCAGACCCCCGTGGATCTCCCCTTCGTGCCCTCCTCGGGGCCGTCGGGCACCCCGCTGGGGGCCATGGACCACCCCCTGCCCGGACATCACCCCTCCAGTGAGGCTCAGCGCTTCACTGACATCATGTCGCACCCCCCGGGAGACTCGCCCAGCCCCGAACCCAACCTGCCCGGGTCCTTGCACTCCATGTCCGCGGAAGTTTTTGGCCCCAGCCCCCCCTTTTCGTCGATATCCGTCAACGGTGGTGCTAACTACGGCAATCACTTGTCCCACCCTCCAGAAATGAACGAAGCCGCTGTGTGGTAGCTTTAAAACGAACTGGGTCTTAAGTAAGTGATGATCATCTAGTCTGCTTATTGTTATGGTGTACAGAAATGAATTAATATAACATCTCTCCTGCCCTAAGACAATATTACCTTGGGAACGAACTGAATCCAATCGCTCCAAGGCAAGCTTTGCTCTAGACCAGGACAATCTCCATGTTATGGTTGTATCAAACAAGCGAGGGGACTTTTTTTGTACCATTGACAAAGAAACTGGGGAAGCTGTACAGTAAAGTGCTGCCATTACCGTAGGATGGCGTGAGTTTGATTTACCCTGTTGGATGTCATCCTAAGAGCCACAATCCTTAGAAACTTCTCGTTTAAAAAAAAAAAAAAAAAAAGAAATTAATAATTGAATGAAGGAAAGGTCAAAGAAAAGGGGGAAAAAAAAAAGCTTCAAGAACTCTCTAGCGGTCCCGGTTAAGGATGGTTCTGGCATTATGAATCTGTTTGTTCATTTTTGTCTCTCAGAAAGTTCGACAACAAGAAACTCTTTTTAGCTTCGGCCATTTCAGCCTGCTGACGATCAGGTGGGACAACTTTTCTTTTTTCCTTTCTTTTTTTTTTTTCTTTGCTGTTTTGGTTTGGTTTTGGTTTTTTGTTGTGTTTGTTTTTTTTTTTTCCAAAAATAGCAAATACTAAATGTTAAGCCCTCAGCACCAACTCTTCTACCTTCACAAAGCTACACGTACAAAACCTCCTCATCATAGCAAAGGTCACCACCCAGACCTCTAACGAAAATGACTTGAAAAAACAAACAAACAAAAAGTATTCTACCTTCACAGAGAGAGAAAAGCTAAACAAAAAGACTCTATTGAACTAAAAACAGTCAACTGTTTACGTCTAATGTTAAATTCAGGAGCTCAATGTTTTACTAATAAATCCTGTTTTAGAAAAACCTCTTGTTCAAAAGCAAAAGATTTTGAGCAACCAACCAAAATAGTTCATTTTCTTTTCTGTAGATGTTCTAACAGATTGCAGGGCTTGTGGTTCACTGTGCTAGTTTGTAAAAGGTGTTGTTTACAGAAGGCAAAGAAAAAAAAAAATCCACAAAACCCAGACAGTTGCCAAATAAAGTAAATATATAGCACAAATACTGTAAGGTGCTTTGCACCAGCAACCCGAGAAGGTGTTTAAAAAGTGTTACAAGGTTAAAAAGAAAAAAAAAAAAAAAGACAAACAAACATCTTTGCTAATTTTTAGTCCTGTTGAACATTCATGGAATTGTTAATATGACTTATATAGACCCACACAGGTTTTATTTTTGTGTCTTTAAAATAAAAGTCCAAAATATTTAAATTTTATGGTCAAATATGCAGTCAACAGCTGCTACTTTTTTCTTTATATATTAAATTTCTCATATGTCTTTTATTGTTCTAATAAACCTAAGCTTGTGTGACCTCCAGTGCATATTAGACCATTCACTGTATGAAAGAAAACATGTTGGATAAAATTTGTGCGTTTTTAATAAAATTAGAAAATCTGATGTTTAGATAACTTGTGTTTCATTCGATGTTTTGAGCAATTTTTGAAATTGATTCTCTTGAGTAAAATAGCCCTGAGAGAGAATGATCCACTCTGCTGATAGTCCTGTAGAGCTCTTTTGCTTCGGTAGAAGTCTAAACCCTGGTGTCGATGCAGGGAGCAGCCAGAGGCAGCTCCAGCCTTTCTTTCCATCTCCAGGCTCAGTGGTCGAAGTCCAAATGCCCTGTTAGGCTGTACATTGCATTTTAAAATTGGAAACTAATCAAATTATTAAATATCCTCACTTATTCGTGGTCTTTGCTAAGAGAAAACATTCAAAATGTTTATTTTTGATGCGTAAACAAAATTGTGTTGTGAATGTAAAATGCTTGCAAAGATATGGTTTATAATTGATCCGGTTTTAGTTAATTCTCCAAAGATAATTTTGGCTTTTTTTTTTTCCTAATTGGGTGGTTTGAACACAGCGTAACCTCAATGTCCTGAAAGTAATTTTAATCCTTTTTTTTTTTTTCTTTAGAGCTGAGACAAAGTCAATTGTTTAACAGCGTTTGGTCTTTCTGAAGTTCTCTAAAGGGCAGAGGGGGAGAATATTTTTCTTTGCACTAGATAGAAACTCATTTTCTTGGAGAAAAATGAAACAGAAAAATTCTAGAGCCTTGTGAAAATGCCAGATTTCGTGTTTTAATTAGAAATCATTGCAGAATCCTAAATATTCAGTTCTTCAAAAGCAAAAGTCTCACTTATTCCAGGAGGACTTTGACGTGTGTTAGAAACAAAGAGTCAGGTTTGGTTCTGAAAAGTCGCTGGTTTCAATGTTTTCCACCTGCTGAGCTGATGGAATGGGATGATCTGTAATTGCATCTTTTCCTTCGTCTCTCAACTAACCGTGGCTCAGGCTTCTTTTTTATTTCATGTAGACACGGAATTTGACGCTAAACCCCAGACTTCTACATTCCCAGTGATTCCATTATTTATCTCTTTGGAGTGGGGGCGGGGGGGGGAACCCACAACCTCAAAATGCTTTAAAGTTGTATGTTTGTAATATTCAATGGTGATTTTTGATTTTGTTCACTACCTAATTTCTATGCCCAGCAGAGGGGCCAACTAGACGAAGCAATAGTTCACTTTAAACACAAAATGTCTTATATAATAATAGTATAAAGATAAAACCTATCTGCAAGGGATCTGTTAGTGTTTCTAAAAAAAATAATTCATGCTTTATTAAATACAGGGGAGACTTCTTAAACTCCTGGGCTCTGTGTCTAACTCATTTATTTGTCTTTTGTACTATTGCCATGTTTTGTTGCTCTGGTTTGCATTTATATAAGCAAAGGAATGGGTGATTTATTTATTCCAAATTTTTACTTATCTGGGCAAGACAAATACTGCTGTTTGTGCTTCTGGTCTAGGCTGCTGGTTTATTGTTGAATCAATTATTTGAAATTAGAATTTCACCAAATAGGCTTGGTTTGTTAGAAAAACATGTCTGCCAAGTGATTGGGGGTTTCAGTTATTTTTTTTTTCCTTTAATTCGGTAACGAGGTCCTTGTACAGTTTATCCCGCGCTCGTTTAGGCAGCGATGTGATACGGTTCAGTTTAGGTCAGTGGCTCTAAAAGGGAGGGAGGAGAGCCTGTCCTTTTGTCAATGCTCCCATCCCTTCCCCAGGGGCTTTGGGGGGAGCCCAGGAGCCATTCCCGTGCTGGAGGCCGAGCGTGTCCCTCAGCGCTCCCGGAGCTCCGCTCCGGAGGCCCCGGCCCTTTGCAGATTTGAATTCCGTGCTCTTCAGTGCAAGCTCGGTGCTTCTGAAGACCCTAATCCAGCAACAATTGCACAGTCAAAACTCCTTTTGAAATCATTGTCACGTTGGGTTCTTGTAAGTCCTTGTTTACAAGAGCATTTCCATTGACTCCGGGCGGGCGTTCCGTGGTGAATGAAGGTCTGTGGGAGAAGGGCCTCGAGGAATTGCTGCTGCTGGGGTGGGTTCTCCAGGAGGAGTTGCTGCTGCTGGGGTGGGTTCTCCAGGAGGAGTTGCTGCTGCTGGGGTGGGTTCTCCAGGAGGAGTTGCTGCTGCTGGGGTGGGTTCTCCATGTGCACGGTCCTCCTTTCCCGGTAGGAGCGTGGGCGTGCCACGCGCGGCTCTCCGTGCGCGCCGTGTAACGCCACGAGCGCTTTCTGAAGTAATTGCTCTCTTTTGATCTTTCCCTCCCTCCGCTGCCGCTGGTTTTCCGTGACCTTGTTGCCGTGTCCCAGCAGAGGGGACGTTGCAGCCACACGGAGCCCTGGCTGCTTGGCCAGTTTGGGATGGCAGCCGTGGGGCGAGCGGGGCCTCCGGCACAGAGCAGGGAGCTCGGGCCGGGAACGTGCCGGGCTGAAGACTCGTGCAAACCCCCGTGGCAGACACGTCCCCGTCACTGGGAGAAAGGTTCAAGGCACGTTTTGTGAGTATGACCCATATCGAGCTAATCTGTGTGAAGGAGGTTTTTTGGAGGTTGACAGAAGTGTCTATAAAACACCAGGAATTTCCAGCGGCCAAACAGCTGCTTTTGGCCCAAACTGTCCCACTCTGCCCCCACCAATGCTCCTCTCTGCCCATTCCAGGCCCTGCTGGGATCCACTCACCCAGACCTTTGCTTGGGGATGGAAGGGGATTTGGGAAGATCTGTATCCCAGGAGGAAGAATATACTTAAATTGTGATTTGTAGATGAATAATGTGTATATGTATATATATATATACATATAATTTTAATATGTGTCCCCAGACGCTGAGTGATGGGTACACGATACAAACTGATAAATAAATATAATTTTAAAATATCAGTGGTAATGTACATACTTTTGCCATCCATGTAGTGGTGGATATTGCAGTGTCCTCTAAGAACGGCAAAAGGAACCATAGTCTGGATTTTTTTCCTAGAACAAGTGTGTTGTCTTCAGGCTTTGCATGTTCTTAAAATATGAAATTTAAGCATTTACAATCTCCTTTTCTGTTACTACCCCAGCAGATAAATTCATATCTGTTAAGAATAAACAATTGATACATATCCTTATATGCTGGTGAGCTGGGAACAAGGAATTGTGATGCTGGAGCAGGTTGTGGAAGGTCTTTTCTTTGTGTCTGCCATGGCACTGGGGCGCTCAGCATTCTTCATGCCTACAAAACACCCATGGAGTTATAAATGAAACTAATGGGACAATTAAAATATATTTTGATTATAAATCCTTCTGGGATTGCCATCTTTGTTTTTTTGTCAATAGTATTTGTGGTGGTTTAGCTACAAAATAGGGGGTGGTGCTTGGAAAGTGGAGTTTGGTGATGCCTGGAGAGCTTTTCGTTCATTAAATGCAGAATTTCAGTGCAGAAATTGAAGAGTAAATGTGACCTTACAGTGAGGTGGCCTCCAGATTTTTCAGTCTGTGTCTTTGGGGTTGCTGGGACTGCGATGGTGGGGAGCTCCTGGGACTGGTGTCCCTGCAATGTTCTTCCCGCCGGTGCGTGGGATCACCGGGTGGATGCAGGTTGTTGGTTTTATTGGCATCTCGTGGTTCAATTCTTGGAGCATCCCCTGGCCTTCTGCATGACATTCCTGGGACAAGGGGCACGACTGGGCTCTCTTACACCTTCTGTTACAAGCTGCCATCAAATGCAGGACCAGCTCTGCTTCGGTGGTGTTCAGTGCAGTGTCCAGAGTGTGGGTTTGGCAGCTGTAAGAATTAGGGATGTTTTTCCTGCTTGGTTTTACTACAAGCTTTACTACTTCCTGCAGAATCTGCCCCTTTACAGGGGCTGCTGGGATCTCACGTGGTTTGGAATGCAATCCTTGGCTGTGCTCGCCAAGGAGCCCAGGTTTGCAGGGCAGGTCTGGTGTGGTTTTGTCAGGTTTTCGTACGGTGTGAGAACCATCACCCAGCACAGACCTTAAACCTGGGCTGGAAAATCCCCCCTGGCTCTGACAGAACTGGAGTGAGAGGAATTCCAAGGGGTTGTGGTGACTTTTGGGGAGTGAAGCCCACAGGAGATGCTGCCTTGCACACTTGACTTGTGCTCAGCATCTCCAGAACATCTGTGTGCTGCTGTGTCTGTGCTCAGCAGAGCACAGTTGGGGTTTGCACATGTTGGTTTTCCTTGTTGAAAATCAGATTTTTTGCTCCATCCAAAACAAGTTTTCATCTAGTTTTTAAATTGACTTTGGGTGGCCTTTAAATTTCTTATCTGCTGAAAGCATCTTTAGGCTGTGGATCTCTTCAGCTCCACTCTACTCCTTCTATTTTTCTATGTAAGAACCATTAAGGGTTGATAAAATCTTTAAAACAATTGTGGATTTTGAATGAGTGATGGGTTAGAAATATCAGAAGTACTTGAGTAAATAAAAAGACAGAAGAAAAATAGTAATAAATATTTATAAGGAGAGGGTTTTTATGTACATAATCTAAATTTCCTGTTGTGTAATTTGTTTTAGTGGTGGAGTTGAATGTGCTCTTTTCTGATTTATTTTTTTTCTTCTTTTTTGCTGATAAATTGTCTTTCTGATTAAAAAAAAAAAAAAAAAGAAAAATTTTAAACGAACTGGCGCGACTGAAACGAAAAAAGGTCAGTTTGGAAAATGACATTTTCCGGCCAAAGTGTTGGAAAGATAAGCTCAGCCCTGGCTTGTTGCTATTTTTGGCCAGCATGGAGCCCTCTGTATG